GAAAAAAAATAGGTATAGGTATTATGGAAATTCTTGTACAAGTAAGTAATGTTATTTAAACTATTTGTAGCACGCCGATGAATTGCTCGTATATAGAGAATTTCATTTTTCCCCTTACCCTTTACGGGTACCCCGTATTTACAGAACGGATCGACGCAGTGTCGGACTGGCCATATTATATATATAACTATTAGGGGGGCCCCAGCCTTCGCGGGCCCCCTTTATAGTTCATTATTTATTCTTAACAATATTTGCTTTTGCATTGCATTATGGTATTTGCATTGCATTGGTGTACCTTGCATTAGGGTAGTTCCCCGATTTATATACAGGGTGGGTCTTAAATAAGTGCAAATATTTTCAGGGCTGGTAAATCTCGATAAAAGAAACAAAATATTTTCTCTTTACCGTTTTTTCAAATAAATCCGAAACAATCGAGTTATTTCACTTTTAAAATTACAATTTTTTGCTATAATTTTGAGAATCATTGGATTTTCTTTCTTGTAAATTTAATCTACTACCTCTGTTGCCATATTACAAACAAAGTATGTTTTTAAACTAAAAATTAAAAAAAATTCCAAATTTTAAATATCGCCCAAAAAACCTCATAATCGTGTTTCTTGGGTCGAAATATACTACCCCTAAAAACATTTACATTTATTTAAGATTCACCCTGTATATAATAGGGAAAAATTGACCAAAAGATAAGGCGAAAAAATACGCAAAAAAATCCACACTGGCCCCTTCTTACATTGCCATCCGGGCCGCATTTTTCCGTTTCCTATACGGCTAGCGCAACCGATTGCGTTAATCGCATAGGAAACGGACCCGAGACCTGCAACTCCGTTTACTAAGTGGTTAACGCAACCAATGCAAATGATATTGTTATAATGAGTCATAATATTATCATTATGACAGGTGGACCTGCATAGGTGTTAAATTTATTAAATTTAAATTAATAATGAGGTATTTTATTCTTGATTCCAAAAAACAGCAACATAATTGAGAGATAAATCTAATAGGTAACTATTAACGTTTTATATTCTAATATTGGCAAGGCAGTTCGGCAACACAGCTTTAAGACGTGGTTGATATGTCAATCTGTTTTTTTTTAATAAATAATACTGAGTCGGTGGTTGCTTCCTTGTGAAACATCGTTGAAATATTAGAATTTTTATAAAACACGCTTTTAGATGTATCAAAAAAAAATTAAAAAGAGTAACTTAGCATTTTAAGAGTTCTTTAAAAACTAACCGTCTGACTACATTTTAAGGATACATATACCTATAATATATTTGCTATGGTTGTGGATTTAAGGAGTTTACAATAGCGGTGATAAAAATGTGTTTAGAAATCCTTGTTGGTCGTTTACATTATTGTCGTTTTTAGCTGATGATTTTAATATTTATAACTATTCTATGTAATTTAAGCGTCTGCCTTTTGTTTCTCTATCTAATAACTTAATTGAGTTTTCATTAACTGTGTGACTATTTAAAATACAATGAGTTACTAGACCGGAACTTCGCTGAAGATTATTAATAGATGTTGTTTAATAAGATATGTTCTTTAATCATTATATCTAAATTTCTACCTGTTTGACCTATACGTACATGGCATTACAATTATCGCAGTCCATCCTATATAAATCAATGAATGGAATTATTATGATTTTCATTGTTGGAATAATATTTTTGTAATTTTATTTATTTGATTAATTGTGGAATTAAATTGTTTAAATCTTAATTCTTAAAGTTTTGTTATAGTGTAGTGTTTACAAGTAATATTGAGTGTCCCATTTTCTGTGTCCTAAGTGACTACAAATACAGCATACCTAGAAAGTTCATTGCAAGCGCTTCTTTGCATGGGTTGCGATGACCACTTAGTAAACGGAGTTGCAGAACTCGAGTCCGTTTCCTATGCGATTAACGCAATCGGTTGCGCTAGCCGTATAGGAAACGGAAAAATGCATACGGGCCCCTTTGGCCTAGTGCTACCCTGGATCGAAGTACTGTCCTAAAGAAACATACGAGTAAGAATCCGTGTGTTTGCTTTAGCGTGATCGTAACGGAAATTATGGACTTAGCAACATTTCGGTTGCTATTTCAGATCACTGGGAGTTAGCAGATATTATTGAGTTAAAATTGCAAATTTTCTTTAATGGAAAAAAATCTATTTGCTTTCCCTACTTATAGAGTCTTTTTTTTCTCTTTCTAATGGTATAAAAAACTTATTAACGTAAAAAATGGAGTTAGCAGGTTATCACGTTTCACTGACGAATTGTTGAAAATAGCTATAAGGTCAGCACCAACGAAAGCTATAAGAGATGAAGATGCGATTTCACACATCAAGATTAAAGATGGAAGGATTCATGGCGTTTAAATTTTTAAAAAATATGTTCACGTTTCAGTTAATCAATGTATGAAAAATGTGAAAAAAATTATAAACCCCTTTAACAAAAAGCTGTTATAGTATAATTTCTTCCGTAAATTATTTTTGTTACTTTTAATGTATGTACTATATCCATGGTTTTTGTTTAATTACTCATTATAAAAACTTACAGGAGGTTTACTAAGTCCGACTGTAGCCGCGCCGTTACAGCCAATGTCTTCCAGCACCAACAACACTGCTGCCGTTACAAGTCCACAGTCAACTAAAACCAACCAAGCGATGGGTTCCACATGGGTAAATTCGGGAAACGTAAATATTGATTTAGATAACCTAATGATTAGTAAACCGAAACTCCCGCTGTCTCCAAGTATGAACGAAATGGCTAGTAATCCGACATCTCCAATAAACCGAGCTAAAATAGGCAATAATAGTATTTCAAATGTACGAAATAATTTTAATAATATACAAGATCGCATTCCCCAACAAAACCCAAATTTTTTCTCTGGTTTTAAATAAATACAGTGTAAGATATAAATACAATGTGAACATTTATTTTCAGTTGGTTCATTTATTTCTAAACACATATCATTTACCAAGAGCTATATTAAATATAGGTTGAAGAAATGTTGAACGTTCAAGTTAGACTGTAGATATCAATATAATTTATTTTAAACTAATTCGTGATGACCTCGTAATTCTGTTTAATGCTCATAGTTTCACTGGGTGCTGGGTATTAGGGATTTGATTTCAAATTGTATAGTGTTTTGATTTTAACTTTATAATGTCAAATGTACAAAATAAAGTTGTTTGTAATATCACAATATCTTTCTATAATTATTAGTTCTATAAAGAAATTATAGCAATATTATACTTTTATAAGTAACTTTGTTGTGTTTTTATTACATTGAATAAAATTATATTTTTAATTCTTTTTTTATTTTTTATTAGACATTTACAACCTCTAGTAAATTATATCAATTTTGATGTGGTCGTGGTTTGGTGGCAATTATATTAAATCGCAAACCCGACTACTGTAGGGAGTTCAATCCCCATCCAGCACAGTATTATTCAGGGTATTTCAAAAAGCGTGGGGATTCCTCGCGTGGGAATTCCTCACGCAAAAATAATGTTTTTTTTATATCAACATAGGTCCGATTCTGCTTTGTGTCGTAGCTACAAGGGGTTAAAGTGTCGTCACTGGAATATTTTTCTAAAAAAAATCATGTGGCGCCACTGTCTCTATAAATGTTTAATAAAGTAAGATCCTCTAAAGCTTTAGATTGACGATTTAATAAAAAAAAGTTTTTTGGCGTGGTCGCGTGACAATATTTTCCTAAGGCTTTGCACCCCTAAAGTATTGGACTATGCGTCGCCACTGATGATAATAAAGATAGCACATAAGCGTTTTCTGCATACTGCCAACAATCTGCCGAATTTACGGCCACACAGAAAGCGAGTAAAGCTTGATTTTCATGCATCCGTTATACGTTGGTCCGACGGTGCTCTGATTGGTCATAGCGTTTTCGCGCCACTTTTCATCCGTAAATATTTTACTTCAGCCCGTCAACGGACCCGTTCATACGATAACGGACGTTTTGACACTTTTTTGACAAATTTAATCTAACCTTAATAAAAATATAAGTAAAATAGCAAAGTCGTTATGGAAACGAAAATATAAAATAACACCAACGTATATCCGATAAACGGAGGCATGAAAATGCAATAAATTTAAAAACTGCCTTATTTTCTAATCAATCAAAGTATTTAAATTCTACCAATAAAATTAATATCGTATCAACGTATCGTCGGACAACGGATGCATGAAAATCAAGCTTAAAGCGACTTAAGCTTTTTTTTCCAAATTCCAAGAAATTTAAAGTTACTTTTTTCCATGTGTTCAAATATTTTGAACTTACTGTATATTGATATTTTTTTTCCCAAGGAGATTTAGCATCTCAAAAGTCGTTCCTTCATTTAAATTATAAAAATTGTGATTTTCAAATACAGTCGACTCTCGATAATTTGAAACTCAAGGGACCAGGAAAAAAATTCAATATAAAGAGAGTTCAAAATAATAGAAGTTCAAATAATCAAGAGGAAATAGGGATAAATTCAAATAAACAAGAGTTGTCGATGTAAACTAACGACAGGTCTGTACAGGAAAACAATACCGACGCAATGACTACATTACTGACTAAACAAATGGCAAATAGGCAAATACATAATCACGGACTTCAAAATATGGGATTTCTTACTTCAAATTATAAAATGTCGAGTTCAAATTATGGAGAGTAAGGAAGCTCTCACTTCAAATTATAGAATGTGGGCGAGCAAGAATTCATTCAAATTATCAAGGGGAAATTATATTAAATTTTTTCAATTTATCGAGTATTTTCTTAAAGGACTTCAATATATTGAGATATTCAAATTAACGAGTGTCAAATTATCGAGAGTCGACTGTACAACGTCATTCTATTTGGAACTTAACGATAAAGTGTATTTTATCACATAACTTAAAAAAATAATAGCATCAATTATATCTGTAATTTAAAAGCTTACTGCATAACCAATAAATACATCAAAAAGATAAAAGCTCGGGTCTTTTTAAAAGAAAATTTTTTAAAACTAATTTTTTACTCATAACAACTGTTATACATAAGTAAAACTTAAATTTTAAAATATGTCCTTATAATGTAATATATCTACTATCTATAATATTGTTGATTATTAGCCCACTGTGTCGTTCCAGTAGTGTAATCGTATTGTTGAGTCACTCTGGATGGCACTGGTGCAGTCGGTGCTACGTATTGTTGCTGAGTTCCCGTGGCAGTTCCAGCATAATTTGTATAATTTTGTCCAGCAGGACTATAGGTGGGCGCTGTATAGTATTGCGCTTGCGTCTGTGGCGGGGGAATGTGCATAGGTGGAAGAGTCTGACCATAGGCTGCTGGTTGTAAGTTACCTATAAATCAAGCATTTATTCAGATAAACGAATAAATAGGTAGGTAAAAAAAGTTAAATATTTTAATTTAATGGTTCTACAAATTCGGGGTACCAGCACTGGTATCTCGGCAACCGTAATAGATACGAACATTAACCTAACCTAACCGACCGATCGGTCTAATAATCTTTTTATTCAAAGGTTGAAAGATATCATGCCTATATGAAATACTAAAAAAAGTTTGTCTTAAAAAATCAGTTTGAGAAGAATTCATAAAATTCTACCAGCCTGTATAATGATTAATAACTTACATTGAAAAAAAATAGCCACAAACATGCTTAAGCTACTACTAATAGCACGTTTAGTGTTTTAAAATTGTCAATTTTTCTAAATAATAGCCACACAGATGCTTCCGTGACTTCAGGAGGCACAGGTATATGCATCTTCTCAGAGGAACTAGACATCCGACGATCTTGAAGGCTATTGGATGGCTGTAATGTTCTACAAGCAGAGGTTTACACTATAAAGGAAGCGGTCAGTTATATACGAAGGAAAATCGCTGATAGACCGATATGGGATATCGTGATATACTCTGATATCTTGGGCGCTTTAAGAAGCATCACCATGCAATCAGTGAGATCGCAAACTGTGATTGACTGCCGAGCAGCACGGTCCTGGCTGCGTTAAGGCGGGGCCACTCTGTTGGGTGCCGGGCCACAGCAATGTCGTGGGCAACCAAGAAGCGGATAGACTTGTCAAAGAGAGGGCCAGGGGAGAGGCTGTGGCAGATGACCCACCACTTGTGACGATCAACACACTGAAGGAGCTATAGGAACTACCATCAAGCAACAAGAGACGTTACAACACCGTGATGACAGCGGTACAGCTCGAAGACTGTTGCTAGTGCATAGCAAAAAGACAAAACAACTACTAGGGCACAAAAAGAACGTAGTACGCATAATTTTAGGTGTAGTTACTGGAAACTGCCTCACGGGAGTAAATCTCGTGAGATGGAAGATTTCCAACGACGACTACTGCAGCAGAGAATGCGGAGAGGAAGAAGAATCCATAGAGCAACTGCTGTGCACTGGAATACCGATGCTTTATAATTTTAGGGCACGGTTTTTTGGAGGAACTAGAGGAAGCAGCAGAAGCCAGGGACAAAATTTTACGGCCTACATCGACAATGCTTTGAAATAAACTAAATGAAGCGATCAAGCGAATCGCTTGCTGCTTGCCATTCATCACCGAAAGAAAATGTGCCCTGCGCACGCAACTCACTGCTTGCGCTTGGCGTTAACGAGTACTTACAACAAGCGACGCGACGGTCGAAAAACCGTATTTTTAAATATGAACGATGTTTCGCTCGAGCGATCGCTCGATTATTGCAATCGCTTGAAACTCGAGTACTCGATTATTGAAATTAATCGGTTTTCCCCATTTTCCACTATTTTTAGATATTGCTTGAACTTGAGGAACATTCCCCCTTTCGGGAACGCCGCCTTTGAATTGGAAGCCTCCCAATTATTATGAACAATATTTATAGTACATCTTTATAGAAAATAAATCTCATGCATTGCCATTAAGCAAAGATAAAAGACATTCTTACAAAATGAAATATCTTACCTTGTGTATGTGTATATTGGTTATAATAATTTTGTGATGCAGGTATAGTCTCATGGTTTACTGAGGCTGTTTCTTGTATCGGTACAGTAATCAGATTCGTTCTTAAGCCTGACGATTGAATTTGTGAAGGTCGACGCGTCCCAGCTGAATTTGGATTACGAGGATCGTTAATTATGTTTGGCTTTTGCCGAATCGAAGGTCTTTCGGGTTCAGCTACAATTACCTATAATAAAAATATTAGTAATAAGTAGGTAGTAAGGCAGTGTTATAGTCTGTCCAATGAGAAAATGCATGACAGTGACAGTTGTCTATCATTTTAATTCAAAAGTAATATATAATTAACTGAAAACATTGAATAAACAGAAAAAGGAGTCAAATTCTATTTTTATATACATACATAGACAGCAGCTAACTCATTGTAATCACTTGAAAAGCTTTTCTGTCAGTTTTGACCCTTCTGTCGATAAATTTCTGTGAATTTAGTGTGCTTTTTTATGTTTATTTTATATTATTTCTTGCTTGTTATTTTATAATAGATTTTATACAAAGTGTATTAATGTGGAAAAACATTGTGCCGGAACTTGAATTACTGTAAAATCAAAAAAAAATAATTACTTGTACAACGTGTGATCGTTTTTAGACTAAACCCAAAAAAATAATGAATAACTTTTCACTTGTAATTATACTTGTATATGTTATGAATAGTAAATTAATCAATTAAGAAATTCGTTTAGAATTAACTACATCTGGAACCATGTTATTATACCCTTTATTGCATATACAGGGTGTTCCTTAATGACATGCTAATATTTAAGCCCACGGCCACACAGAAAATGTTTTTAGCGTTTTGCGTTTTTTGCGTCTCAAGCGCTTTTTGCGATTTTACCGTTTTAAGCGCTTTTTTCGATTTGTGTCCATTAAAAACACGCGAAAGACGCGGCAGGTCGGCAGATTCTATCAAATTGTCAATTAGTAACGTCGCAAGCTCGTGGATTCCCGGCTCGTCCAACAATCCTGTGAGAGAGATAGGCGAGATCGGTGCCGTTAGCGTTGAAAAGACGAAGATAAAAGATGCTGGGATTGAACTGTGGACGGGCCGGGGCATATATTCGGAGACAAATACAATCTACTGCTAGTGCCAGTGGTGTGTAAAAATAATAATTATTATTTGCCATTTATTTTACGAATTTTAGTTTTTTTATGTTGTAGTGTTGTGGTTAGTACTTATTATAATTATAATATAATATAATAAATAATTATAATTATATAATAGAATAGTAAATATTTCTAGTTGCTAATGCAATTTTAGAACATGATTTATGAAACATTTTGGAGTGAAACTTCTTTTCGCGCACTGGGAGTAAAAATTCAAGGCCGTGACATACGAGCTAGTGAGACGGCCCTGACACACGAGCTCGTTGTAACGAAACGTGTTAACAGCTTAGAAATACGTAGTGACGCGACGTTTATTTGTGAGCAGTCCACGTGTTTATCAAAAATATTCATATTTCAATACAAATTTTGTAAAAGTGTGTCAAATTATTACGTGTAAAAAACATTTGTTACACATAAAAAATTATGTTTATTATTTTACGCGAATAAAACTGTTATACGTAAAAAACTATTTTTTTACGCGTCAGAAACTTATTGTTTCATTGTACCATTGTACCTTTCTTACGCAAAAAAAATATTTTTTACGTGTAAAAAACTATTTGTTACACGTAAAAAACTAATTTTTACGCAAAAAACGCTTTCTGTGTGGCCCTGGGCTAAGGAAGTGGTTCTTGGACTTATTTTAAGAAAAAAACTTCATATGAATGTATGTCCTAAACATCTTAACTTTTGTGATACAAGGTGGTAACATTTTCTAAAAAAAATGTTTCTTCATAATAACTCTGATGTTGTTGTAGATATCTTTATGAAATTTCATACAAGTCTTCTGATGAAAAATGATTTTTTTTGGTGTATAAAAAAATGTGTTGTATCTCTTAATTTCTTTTCAGCTGATGCAGAAATGATTTCCACACAACAGTCAATTTTTTATAATTTTTAAATTTCATAAAAATATCTATAAGAACATCTATAGAGTTATTATAAAAAGTTTTTTTAGAAAATTTTACCACCCTATATCTTAAAAGTTAAGATGTTTAGGACACATATTCATATGAAGTTTTTTTCTTAGAATAGGTCCAGGAATCACTCCCTTAAATATTAGTATGTCATTAAGGAACACCTTGTATATACTATACCGTAAGATCGAAAAAAAAAACGGCGTCCAGTTAGCTGGGAAATGACGATCGATGACATTTCCCATATAAAATGACAGGGATCTTCATTTCATAGACATCGGTATAAAAAATATAGAATTTTATTCAGTTGCTGCAGCAGCGTACTCATATTTTTGGTTTTAGATAATTGCAATATCTTATATAGGTTCATTATATATTTTAAATTAAGTTTAATTACTATTAACATTTATTGTCTCGATGTAAAATATAACCAGCAAACTACTGTGTGTACTCAATTTTATTTCTATTATTTTAACGTGTTAAAAAAAGTCAATCACTACCGATTAATAGCAATTTAAATCCGCCGTCTTGGAAACCCTTCACGGCCTTACCAACTTTGTTAATATACCCCTATAGGTACCCAGTAGCTAGGTAACCAAGAGCCCTGGGGCAAATTAAAAAATGGGGCCCCACTGCTATGTATACTGATAAGGTTTACAATTAATGCTTGGTGTAGGTTTGGCTAATAAAACGAAATAGAGAAGATTCAAGGGTTTATTATACAGGGTGTCCCAGAAATAAATGCAAGTATTTTAAGGGGTGGTAGATCTCGATAAAAGAAACATTAAACTTTACCGTTTTTCAAATAAGTCCAAAATAACGGAGTTATTTTACTTAAAAAAGAATGATTTTTTGCTAAAATTTTGAGAACCACTGGATCTTTTCTGGATTTTATTTCATGTAAATTTAATCTAATATTTATGTTGCAATATTATCAAGAAATTATGTTTTGTAACTAAAAACAAAAAAAATTTCCAAAAATTTTTTAAAAAAATATCGAATTTTCAAAGAAATAATCGCCAAAAAAACCTCATAGGCGTGTCTCTGGGGTTGAATTTTATTTGAAAAAATCAAATAAAATTAAACCACTATATTAACCAGTACAAAAAAGTTTATTGACATTGGCTTACTTACTCCTGATACAGCATTAATTTTTTAACCGTTCTCGAAAAAAAAATCTTAACTCAAATTCAAAATAAAACGCCCATCGATAAATAATAAAACGCACATATCACTATCCGTCAAATTGACAACACTGCCAACCTACAGAAAGAATTTAGGGGAATTCCCTAGGCATAACTTTTTGAATTTCTCTCAACTGAGTTATCACGATTAAAGTGGGGTTGCAACCTGTCATATTTATTTTGAAAATGGGAGAAATTTCCAAAAGTTCAGTTCGATCAAGATTTCTGGTAAGGATTCGAGGGTCCCCTGAGCTTGAGGGCCCCGGGGCACTGCCCCGCCTAGCCCCTAGGTAACTACGCCACTGTAGGTACCCCTAAATATCTTTTTATTCAATGATTGAAGATTGATAGATAAATTTTTTTCTATCAATTTACAGATTGTCATTTATCGAAATCGTCCCTTTTTTTATTGGACAGACTTTCCTTAATTTTAGATAGATCTTACTTCCATAGGTTGTGGAATTTGTAGTTGTTGTGCAGTGAGATTTGACACGTGTCTATGATTGATATGTGCTTGTAAATCTCTCTGTGACAGATAAGTCCTTCTGCAACCAGTTGTTCCATATCTAGTTCCCCCATGAGTACACATAAAAACAGTACCTAGACCAGTCTGCTCCACTCTAGAAATCTTTTCAAAACATCTCGGACATTGTTTTTGCTCTTCCTTGCCACATGCCAAACAAAAAACATGTTTACATGGGATCTAAAAATTCTAACTTAAAAAATATATATGTATATTTACTGTATTATATTTATTACCATCCTGCCATATATTAAAATGGGTTTTAAGCATTTATCGCAGCAATGTATCATTGGATTTAATACTTTTTCACCGATTAAACTAACTTTGTGATCCCAGTTTAATCTTAACATAGGCTCTGGTGGCCCCCTATTAATTGTTGTAAATGTAGGTGCTTCCAGTTGCGAAATATCTGCTTCCAAATCAACTAAAAAAATTGATGGATTTGTAAAAAATATACAGTGAGTGCCAAAGAGTTCGCAACTACAGTCTGACAAACGGATCTGAAACAACGGGGCAACGGCAAGGGGATCGCAATTTTCTAAAATCATGAGCAATTTCATTCACAAAATATCCACGAGCGTGCGGCGTTTCATAAAAATATATCAGCGTTTCATAAAAATATATCAGGAATTTTTATAATATTTTCCAGTAAAGTTTATAATATTATTTTACTTTAAATGTACCTACATTTTGTTTAGTCATTTGCCAAACATAGTAATATTTGTTAAAACGCGTGTACTAATTACAATAAACACAAATCAAGTTAAAGATATAAAACACAATACAATAACACCGCCACTGGATTTTTCAATAGTAGTGACTGTTTCTACTATTCCTAGAGAGGGGCATAAAGTTGGGGGTAATGGCGACAAGACGTGCAAGAATCTCGACCAATCAGACTGGTTGAATCCGAGATGCCATGATGAATTTTGTCAGCGTTGCCAGCTTACCCTGAGCGGACGTTATCTTAAGGAAATACTTTACCTTTTATAATAGGCAGAATGAACGAAATCAGTTAATTAGATAAATATACATTATTATAATAAGAACTACGTCAACATATTAGCATATATATAATTATGTATGCTGAAATGAACTAAAATATAATCAATTTATAGGTAATATCGAGCAACTATGCTTTTCTATAATTAAACGTGACAACATCGACTTTTTTTGCCCGAATTCCTTCCGCTGTTTTAAGGTGCGTATTTACTATCCGAACGAACGAACGAATGTTCATTCGTTCGTTCGGTAGTAGTATGGACGGGACCGGATTTTAGAACCAAACGAAAACACCTTAACCCATTCGTTTGCGAACGCCTTTGATGTACCGACTCGAAACGGATGGCCGAACGAACAAACGAACGACCGCATGCGTTCGGTCCACCGTCCAAATATACCGAATTCCATTCGCTCGACCATCCGTTTCGAGTCGGTACATCAAAGGCGTTCGCCAACAAATGCCTCCGGTCTTCTCGTGCGGTTCTATCGTACGGTCCCCGTCCATACCACTAGCGAACGTTCGTTCGTTCGTTCGTGCGGATAATGAATACGCACCTTTAGATTCGTTTGTCAGATAATAGAGGATCCGAACTAGTTTCAATGAACTATTCCGATACAGGAACGAAAAGAACTAGTTCCCGATTTCTTAACAGACTAATTCCTCGGGAACTATTCGCTCCGCAGTTCCGACGGCCAAGATATAGAATTATGCAACGGCGACGGATCGGTCGGCGCGGGGACGGAACGAAAGGAACTATTATAGTTCCCGGTTTCTCAAAACTATTTCACGGGGAACTATTCAATCTTCAGTTTCGATATATGACACAAGGGCGATGATGATGACGGCGACAATGGATCCAGACGCGCAGAAAAGTGTCGTGGATACTGATATTAATTTTTAGCTTAGATCAAGTCCGTGGACTTGGTCTGTGGCAGGCTTGCTCTGCCATAAGCTTGATTTAAATAATTATAAAAATTTCAAACTGTAAATTTTTGAGATCAAATGTGTTACCAGAAGCCTACAGAATATAAACATTTTTTTCATCTAATATAGAGAATTAATTCATTTTAATTTTTACATTTTTTAATATAATATTTATATGTACAGGGAGGTCGAATTCGACGCTCATCATTGGGATTTCGGAAACCGTAAGACATACAGGATTCATTATTAAATAAAATCATGATATTGTACTTCTTCAACGCTATTTGAACGAAAAACGTGCAATGAAAAGAAATGTGTTTGTACGGATTAGGAATATGTGATTTGATTTAGTATTCAAATTGATGAAGGGGATAGTTCGGAAACAAGTCCGGGAACAAAAATGTATAGAATCATTTTTATAGAGAATTTTGTCAGCTTTATTTTCACATATAGATCGTTTTTCGGTAGATGTCATAATTTCCGAGATATAACCAAAAAAGGAAAAAATTGATATTTAACTCCTTCCCACTCCTCGCGCTCATCGTCTACCTTCGGGAACTTTTGACACATATAAGCCCAAGTCTAGAGGAATTGTTTAAAACCATTTTCAAAACTGTGGGAATTTTTTCCAATGATGGGCCTTTTTTAACTAATTTGACTGGGGTATAATAGACCAAAATTGTTTTATTAAAATTCCGAACACATATTTCGCTAACCACGTCATGATTAGTGAAAGAATTATTGTATAAAAAATGAGTTTTAACTCTCAGTAGATGATTGAAACTAGAATCTTTCACTGGTTGCTTGCTACCTAACTTACTGCCCAGAAAAACAGATTAAATAAATTTATAATTGAGAGAGTGCATTATTTCGTATTACAACGTTACAATAGGGATAGAAAAATCAAAGAAAGCGCTATCTCTGTTCACATTTTATTTAGGATGACCAAGTGTGTAAATTGTAGTTAAAATTCCAATTACGAACACTAATGTATTAATTAGAATTGGAGGAATACTTACTTGGGGGAGGGCCAGTTTCTTCTGGAATTTCGCTCGGAGTTTGAAGTTCTTCGGTTGCTTCTGGAGGTAAAACAACTTTATTTTCAATTTCTTCATCACTTTCAATAACCTTTATCGCTTTTTTTCCTCTGCCCCGACCTCTACCGCGACCTCGTCCACGACCTCTGCCTCCTCTTCCTCTGCCACGGCCCCTTTTCGGTGCCTCGTCCATTTTACACTATATGTGATTTAATTAAAATAAAAATACTTTAGCATAAACTGGCATAAACAATCATCACTTTTCATGTTGACATTAACAGGTTATGTTGTAATATTCTACTTTTTAGTTTTACACAACGGCTTCAACTGTCAGGGCTATTCGGGGATATAAGAAGATATCAGAAGTTATCCACCCTACCGCCCTGACTGTATTGAGAAGTTCGAGCAGAAATAGTATTCCCGAGGACCGCGGCTTGGATTCCCCAAACAAAGTTGGTCCACGGTAGCCCTGTCCAGAGACATAAAAGTAGGTTCTACTTCTATGTTTCTGTCTTCGTTCAAACTCGACCAGAATTTAGTTTGGGAAACGCAAGTTTTTTAAAAGATAAATATTAGAAAAAAGTAAAATTTTATTCAAGAATTTTGAGAACAAGGTCTTCGCCGGATAGTCCTAGCAGCTAAGGCCTTTAAAAAGGATTTTACCCACTTACCACAGAGTAGGTGCTAGGGGTGCTAGAGAGCCCAAAGTAGTAAAAGAAGATTAAATTTAGTTGACTTCAGTTGACTTTCAAAATTAAAAACATCGCTGGTAACGGTCATTTGCTTTCGTTTTTTTGATTTTAGATGAAATAATTTAAAACCTGTGATAATTAATTAGATTCCTAGATGGATTTTAGACAAATAACTGAAAATGCAGAGAAACACATCACACCCAAGTCTGAAATTGCTATATTTAATAGAAAAAATTGTCATGGTGTAGGTACAACAAATAGTCCTTTTAGAACTATGCCAAGTTTTTCTACTCCACCATCTAGATTTGCAAGAATTATTAATCCATTCGATTCACACTTAATAGATAGGTTACATCTTCCGACATTTAGGTAAGTTAGTTATGAAAATTAGTTTAATAAATCCAGTGTATAATAATTATATTCAGTAGTTAAAGTAAAAAGTATATAAAGTTTCCTAAAATGTTTTATGTCTTAAACATGTTGTAGAGAAATAATAATTTTGTGCTCGCAAAGTAGTGGTGGTGTAGTAAATGGGTATTTTAAGATTTTCTACAAGAGATAATAATCTGTATCAGTAAACCATCATATCTTGAATTAAATGTTTCATTTAGAAATTTATTATAATAATATAATCCTATCAATCAAATCACAGTTTCCGAAAACCCCTTATCAGATATAGCAAGCAAATAACACTCTGAATAGAATGACATATCAGATGTCAAGATTTGACATTTTTGCATATGGTTTATTTGAAATTGTAGCATGCAGTTCAGAACTACAATTTGACTCGAAATACCAAGTGTGTGGTACCAAAGTATTGATAAAAATGATTTTTCCAAATATGCTAATGACCCACCCCTGTTTCATTAAAAAAAAGAGATATTATTAAAAATACATATACTTAAGGGATATATTTTCAAAAATAGATTCTCAGTACTTACGTTTTTTCATTTAATGGACCTCTGTGTGTAAATTTCATACTTCTAGAACCGTTACAATTTTTTGTACAAATATCCAAAAGTTCACTTGTATAAAATTTCCCCCTCTTAGGGGATGGATTTCAAAAAATCGTTTTTGAGTACTTACTTTCATCACTTAAAGACACAATATTCTGTGCAAATTTTCATACTCTTAAAAAAATATTTTTCTGAACATTCACCCCTCATCTGGCACCCTTAAAAGGCGAATTTCTAAAAATCGCCCCTTACTGTTCAATTACGTTACCTAAGGAACTTCTACGCAAAATTTCATACTTCCAAAACCGCGTTTAACAGTTTTTTGAGACAACTTTCACCCTTTATATTCACCCTCTTGGGAGGTGAATTTCCAAGAAATCGCGACTAAATACTAAGTTTGGCCACTTAAGGAACCTCTCTCTATACAAAATATCATACCCCTAGGACTATTTTTAAAAAAATATACAAAATTTCACAATCAGTTTCACCCCCTTAGAAGATGAATTTCCGAAAATCGCTTCTGTTCAATTAGGCCTCTGCAAAATTTCATACTGCTAGGAGAGATTTAAATTTTTCTGTATACATCATTCAAATTCAAAATTTATCCCCTAAGGGGATGAAATGAGGGGTCGATTCTAAGTACTCTTTATAACTACTAATTTTAAAGGTCTTTGGATCTTTTTTTAAGACTATTTTTAAAGAAAATTATACAAAATTCACTCCCATTTTCATCCGAAGAAGGTAAAGGAGATAAAGGAGATAAATTTCCGAAAATAGCTTCTAACTGTTCAATTACGCCACATAAGGAACCCCTGTGCAAAATTTTATACTGCCAGGACAGATTTTTTTAGCCGACCATACCGACAGGTATGGTAGGCTATTAAGATCGGTAAAAAAAGTTTTTTTAATTTCACTCAAAATGAGTTATTTGGGTCATAAATGACCTAAATACAAAATAGTTTCATGGTGTCTGTCTGTCTGTCCGTCTGTAAGACGATAACTCAAAAACCGCTAAACCGATTTTAACCAAATTTGGCACAAAAATACTGTGGCACCCGAGAATCTGGCCATTAGTTTTTGTTGGGGGTGAGGGTTGGTATGGGAGGGGGCTAAAAATTTTAAAAAATTGTAACTCCAAAATTACAGTAGCTCGCGAAACGCGGTTTTCAATTAAGATTAGGAATAATATTTGCAAAAAAATTTGTAATATCAAAATCAGTCAAAGTCGCAGTTTTTGAGATAAAAAAAATTGGCGCCGGGAGGCACGTTTAGCCGCCCATACTAAAATATGTTAATAAAAAGTTGGTAGGCAGTTCTTTTAGCTTCAAAGTAAAGGAATTTTTCCAATTTTGTTTTATTTCAAAAACTGTGATTTTGACTGATTTTGATGTTATTACGAATTACGAATTTTGTTGCAAATATTATTCCTAATCTTAAATTGAAAACCGCGTTTCCCTAGCTACTGTAATTTTGGAGTTTTTAAAAATTTTATCCCCCTCCCATACCCTTTTACCAACCCCTCACCCCCACCAAAAACTAATGGCCAGTTTCTCGGGTGCCACAGTATTTTTGTGCCAAATTTGGTTAAAATCGGTTTAGCAGTTTTTGAGTTATCGCGTTACAGACGGACGGAAAATATTTTGTATTTAGGTCATTTATGACCCAAATAACTAATTAAAATTTTGAGTGAAATTAAAAAAACTTTTTTTTGCCGATCTTAATAACCTACCATACCTGTTGGTATGGTCGGCTAAAAATATCAAGTATGGGCGGCTATACGTGCCCCCCCGGCGCCAATTTTTTGTATACAGAAATCCACCACTCATTTCACTCCCTTACAGGGCGAAGTTCTAAAAATCGCCCCTTAGTGCTCAATTACGTCACCCAAGATGCCTCCGTGCAAAATTTCATACTCCTAGAACAGATTTTAACAAATTTTTATGCAACCTTTCATCTTAAGCATCTTTGCTTCCTATTGCATTTCTGCATCGAAATAGTTGGAAAGTACAGATTTCTCTAAAATTTTAAAGTTACTTTCCACTTTTCGTTACTTTTCGACAAAATCAAAAAAGACTTAAGATTTCTATGAGCTTGCAGCTCTGTCTAGATCTAGGTTTTGAACATATCTTTTCAAGTATCTTCCATAAATATATTCGTACTCTGAGCAAAATTCACATAAATTTGTTCCACAAAATCAAAAGAGTTGCTTATTTCAGAGACACTTCGTACACCGCCATTTGAGACCAAATTGAAACTTAGCAGCAGGAAAAAATCGTTATGTAGTAAGAAGTAAGGAAATGAACAAAAATAAAGTTTTCTAATCCAGTTAGTAATGCTTATCAATTAGAATAATGAGAAAATAAGCATATGTGTAGTTGTAGCAAATTTCTACTTTTTGGTTGTAGTTTGTATTTTACAGTAACAAATTGTTCAATATGAATTTGTAAGGCATGCAACAGGAACACGTTTGAACACCGGTAGTTACGTCACTGCCCCAAGGGTTAGTCGGTCCACTTCTACAGAGGGGGACATAAGGGAGACGAGAATACAATGGGTTACCCCGGTTACCCCCTGGTTCACCAAGGTTGATACCAGTAGAGGCTAGTCTTCTATCTAGCCACGCATCCCATTGACCTGGTCACGCCATCATAGGATTTAGGTTTTTGGTGAGGTTATCTCCTCTTGGTCCGGGCGGTTAAATTAAGACCCTCCACTCCCTCTACCCGTGATATATGACCACAGGCAGTAGAGGGTGCCTGGTATGACGGATAGGGTAGTCCTATCCGGCATTGTTATACACACATGGCCAAAATTATTGCATATCTCGTTTAAAAATATACGGAAAGGAATTTAAAGAATCTTTTTTTATACATAGCTTTGATAATCTAATAAGATAAGATAATAATAAATGTTTATCATTCAGACCCAATATTATTACAAATTCTTGCACATTTCGATTTGTGGTCTCTTGGGTTTCAGAAGAAATTTGACCATTGTTTTGGCCTTAAAATGCCTAGAAACAGTATTCAGTTTAATAGAGCCAGAATAGTAGCTACCGGCAAGTTGCAATAGCTCAAATTGTAGGAGTTAACCAAAGCGATGTTTCGCGAATATTAAAAAAATTCAGGGAGATAAACGAGGTTACAGACCGGCCTGAAAGAGAGTTACTACTGCTGTGCAAGACCGTCAAATATTCCTAATTGCACGACGCAATCCTCTGCTTTCTAGTACTGCTATTAAAAATGAGTTAGCTCGCCTTGAAGGAGTAAATGTTTCAAGAAAGACCATAGCAAGAAGACTCCATGACAGAGGATTACATTTAAGGAGGCCTTTATGTGTTCCGAAGCTTAATTTACAGCACAAAATTACGCGACTACAATGGGCTGAGGAGATGAGAACAAATGGACCTAATTGGAATTTCGTCATGTTTAGTGATGAAACAAGAATAGGCCTAGTGTCAAACTCGCGACGACCTTTGGTCTGGAGAGCATCTGGAAGACGAGCACGCTTGAATGCAGCTCAACCCCGTGTCCCGTTTCAAGGGGGAAGCTTTATGGTATAGGCAGGTATAATGCACGGAGCTCGAACTCCTCTTGTCATTATTGATGGCACAATGACAGGTGTCTCAGGGTGCATCCACACTATCCTAAAAACGGCGTATCGGCGTAACGACCTTGAATCGATTTCCAGTAATTCTATTGGCTGAAATTTTCGACAGATGAATTTGACAGATAAAATTTCTGACAGATGAATTTTTCAGGCAATAGAATTACTGGAAATCGATTCAAGGTCGTTACGCCGTTACGCCGATACGCCGTTTTTAGGATAGTGTGTATGCACCCTCATCTCTTAGAGACGTTTTAGAGCCCATTGTGCGTCCATTTCGAGGGGCAGTGGGGAATGAATTTGTTTACATGGACGATAATGCTCCTCCCCATCGCACTTTTGCGGTTCGCGAATTTTGTGAGGAAGAGGGTATAAGAAAACTGGTGACCACCGATGTCTCCAGATATGAATGTGATCGAGCATGCTTGGGACATGCTAAAACGCCATATTGCCAAAAGGAATGATCCCCCCCGTATCTTAGATGAATTGAAAATTGCTGCGCGCGAAACATGGGAAGCCATTCCTCAACATCTTCTGGACAACTTAATTGAGAACATGCCACGTCATCTCACAGCTTGCATTGAGGCTCGAGGAAGCAATACAGACTATTAGTTGTGAGAAATAATTAAAATTATTTTCAATATTTTCTGTTTAGAATGAAATTTGTTTTTGTTGATTTTTACTCATTATGAAATAAAATTATAATAACAGCCTAGTTGTACTTAGATTTTTAATTTTATATTAGTTAGTCGTGTAGTAAGCCAATATGTCCAAAAATATAAAACGAATCATATTAGGTCCAAAATA